CCCAGAGTTTACTCTTGTAATGCGGTTCTTGTACTCAAGTTTAAAAATTGTTTAAAAATAGTTAGAGGCCGGAACTCTTGCTAAAACATATCAGGAACTATAGAGCACTTCGAGAACTGTAAAATAAAATTATCAAAATAATTTTTTTTTAATGTTGCGGTGCCGTGGTAAGTTGGCACCTCATATTTTAAAAACTTCATTTTTTTTATTAATTCGACGGAACTATTGCTATAACCTATCAGGAACTATAGAACTATTGTGGGTGCAAATGGAACTCATGTCAAAACTTGCGGTGCTAAAAAATGAGGTGCCAACTTCACGCACGCCATTTTCTACAATGTGCGCAACATAACAAATATATATAATTCATGTTACGTATATGTAGAAAAAACACGTATATGCGTACATATGTAAAACACTAATCTTCTTATCTAGATGATTTTTTTTTTGTTGGCAATGATAAATAATAGACATATCTATATCGTACAAATATCTCACTGACGGAATGTACAAGAAAAAAAACTACAATCCATAAAAAATCATCGACGATGGTCTTAACGTAAATTTCCATCGAGAATTAGCATGAGAAACAAATTAATAAAACGACTAGTATAAATGTAACATTGAAAAAACATAAAAACATAAATATCATAACATAAAAAATCAAATAAAAACATAAAAATTGAAATTAGAGAAGGTACTTCCCAATTGTATCTGTAGTCTCTTTAGTAATATTTTATTATTTTGTAAATACCGCCACTATGCCCAGTATTATTTTCAAAAATTAAAAAATTGTCATGATCAAAGTAAAGAATACTTTTTTGACGAATTTAATTATATTTATTAACATTATATTTAAAAAATAATTTTCGGAAATGAACTGAAAACGTTACTCTCCAAAATTTAGAAAATATAAAAAAATCATTAAAGCAGAAGACTGTTGTGAGTTTCCTTGCTGGTCGCATGAATGTACGGCACTGACTATGTATAAAAGTACGACGGGATGCAAGGTCATTTTCATATCTTGTGTGTTGAATGCTTATATAACGCTTGGAAAGTGCGAGCAGTCTGATCGCGACACGAGTCGCGTGTAGTCAATTTACGTGAGTAAATAGTGTGTAAAACTATAATAAGTTATGTTAAACAATTACGTGTGTAAAATTATAATAAGGAAAACAATACTATAATATTAATAAATTACTATAATATAATAATAAGGATAATAAGTTAAACAATTACGTGTGTAAAACTATATTAAGGAAAGAAAAGTAGTTGAATCGACAAGATCGGCTAGTTGTGCGGCTTTTCAAAGAAATATCGTGTCTATTTAACAAATTACGCACTAGTGCAACAATAAGTTATTTAAAATAGTTCCTTGATATACCAACCAAATCATAATCACTGAATTGATAACTCACTTATTCATTTTCTCTCTCTCCCACTCTCCGTTGCCCCTCTATCTATCTATCTATCTATCTATCTATCTATCTATCTATCTATCTATCTATCTATCTATCTATCTACCTATCTATCTTACATCATAGCAACTATATAATTTATTCAATTGACTAAACATTTGCTTGAACGAATTTTGTTTATTCATTGAAGCAAAGTCTCATTAACTCAATTATTTTTTTCTCAAAATATTGTGATTTATCTAACTAGTTATTTAACTAGTATTGTATGCAGATTAATACGAAGTAACATAATTATGAGATAATATTGCAAAGTTAAAATTAGGAAAAAGAAATGAAGTTATATATGCTTTACAAAGCGCCAGTTGTAGAGAAGAGTAGATCAAATCGATCTAAAGGTTATTGTTTGGTCGTTTTATTTATATATCTATTATGAAAGCAACAGTGATGAGGGGACCGCAAAATATCCTTTTCAGAACATAGCAAAAATACCTATGTCCAAAAAGAAACATTTTATGATCTCTTTTTCACTATCGCTTACACAATAAATAGACGATTCAAACGTACGGCTGCTACGATCTTGGTGTTAACTTGACTTTGTCCTAATAGATAAACATTGACTCTACGTAGTCAGGATTCGTTCACGGTCGAGAATTCATTATATAGTAAATTAATTATGGTATAAATAATTGATTATAGCGTAATAATTAATTGTGGTGTGAATAAAAGTGAAACAATAAGTCAAGAATAGGATCTGAACGATCGGTAAGAAATTCTTAATACATACTATTTATTATTACATAGTATTATTTTTATGTTCTGTACTCTTCTAGGAAACTTAATTTGTTTTGCTTATGTCACTTTTAAAGTAAGATTGCAATATGTTAAGTGCTGTTTTTCCATATAGCTTAAACACTAATAACACTTGCGTATTTACAAATGTTTAAAATTATCATACCTCATCACGTGTATTGACTTATCGATAGTATGATAAACTGGTTGAGCTTCTTCTTTTGATAAATTTAACATTAAACGTTTGTAGTATGCATAAATGATTGTAAACACGCGGATGTGTGATGAAAGAACAAACAGATCGATAAGCAGACATCTACTAGATTGTATCGAGACACGAGGAAGTAATTTTGAACACCTGTTGTAAAGGTAAGCAAGTGTGAGATACTAAAACACAAAATTCTCTATGTCTCGAAGACAAAGTCAAGCCGGATGAACATTTATATGAACTTGTTTCATTATTTTCAAACGCTGATTTAATTCTTGAAACGTTTCTCACGTATTAAGATACATTCTGTATGTACGTCATCAGACTTAATAAGCTCAGCGTTGAATTTTTTTTAATTATTCGTCGTTCGACATTATTCATCGACATAAAAGCACGATATAATTATGGACTCTGAAAATATCATGTTGTCAATGAATGCTTTGAAAGAATGAGCTTTCGCATAATGCGATTAGAATATTTTATGTGACATAAATCCGCCATTTCGCAGAAATACATTTTGCATAAGTGCAACAATCTCTTGAAAAATACTATTCGTTTTCAGTCATAAATAAATAAATTGAGAATAACTAATTTTTACGAATACAATTATCGTCTGCGACTCGTGTTCGGCTTCCCGGTGAAGGATAAAAATTCTGGACAATTTGTAAAATCACAGACTTGAGTTATCGAGATGGTAACTACAACTAAATTGTACGAAATTACTTTAGACATTTAGAACATCAAAGGGCCTTTAATATTTTCTGTCATTAGAGCTTTCTTAATTATTCTAGCATCTAAAGCGATCTTATCACTCTTCACCGTAGACGGAAGATAATTATGCGCAAACATCGGACAGGTAAACGTAATCGTGCCAAAGTAAAGTGGATTGTTAACGCGGTCGATAGAAAATCGCGTGGACCTCTTCAAACATTTGCAAATCGCCACGAGGAATCGATAGTTAGAGAACGTGACAATGCAAATCGATGAGATTACATCGTTGGCGAGATGATATTTTTCACCGTGAAATTATTATTAATATACAACGAAAAAATGACTTTGTAACAAGTTTAACGGCATTATGCAAATCTCGTGCAGTATTTTTGTCCATGAATGCAAATTATACCATAAAATCAACGATCGCATAATATAGTTACGCGAAATGCCGAGAGCTGCGATGCAATATAACCTGTTATTATAATATTATTTTCTAGTTGATCAATTCAAAGTTATTATTAATATTTATTACAATATTTATTATTACAATATTTGCACATCGCATCTCTCACTGTAGACGCAAACTGATTTGAAAGTTGCGTATCACGAGAAGGATTATCCTATTTTTCATAATTATTAGTTGATTTTATTTTTATTTCCTTAGGAAAAGCATTTCGAACGGCGATCTTTATTTCCATATTTCCAGAGTCTTTCTTTCATGCAATAACGATCTCCTCAACCACACGCCATGAAAGGCAGCGTAAAAATCCACTCTACTATTTCTTCTCGGAATAACCCGCGAGTTGAATGGCTTTTCCGCGAGAAATCGTCGCGTATGATCTCATGTTAGGAATAACGACTCTAGTTGTGGTTTCGCAGGCGACGAATTTTCGCGTTGACAAAACTAGGCGAGCCGGAAACCGAGCTGCTAAAGCGCGCGTAACGGCGCCCCTAGCATGGTGAAAGAACCAATTCTGCAAAACGTCACGACGATTATTATAAAAGGGGCCCATTATAATACGTCGCCGTGTCAGCGTTCGCTGCAAAGTACCGGAGTTATCGCCGATTTTCTGCACGCCCGAGCGAGCACTCTACTATACTTCACTCGCGGTTCTCGAAAATATCACGCGTTCTAACGATTTCGACGAGAACATTGACGGTCAGATGATCAAAATAACATGACAATTAGTTGTAAATGCAGCACGTATCGCGACATTTAGAATTAAATAATATTGCAGGCGTACTTTTTTAAAATGAATCAATAAAAACGTTTCCAATAGAATCAATGGAAGGACTAATTCACTAATAATCATTGAATCTTCACTAATTTTCTCAGTAAAAACACTTCCACTTTACTGCTTATTTCTCACTAATTTTGATCAGTGGAAGTTAAATATTACTGCAAAATGTGTAATAAACAAAATCGTAATATATATCATACCAAATAGTTGTAAATGCAGCACGTATCGCGACATTTAGAATTAAATAATATTGCAGGCGTACTTTTTTAAAATGAATCAATAAAAACGTTTCCAATAGAATCAATGGAAGGACTAATTCACTAATAACCATTGAATCTTCACTAATTTTCTCAGTAAAAACACTTCCACTTTACTGCTTATTTCTCACTGATTTTGATCAGTGGAAGTTAAATATTACTGCAAAATGTGTAATAAACAAAATCGTAATATATATCATACCAAACCCAAATTCTGCGTTTATGACGACAGGATTAACGGCTTTCATGCACGTTATATGCAATGACAATATCTGTATTTACAAAATCAATAATGAGAATATTAATAAGGATATCGTTACTGTTAGTTGATCTAATCAGCGAGATTTTACTGCTATACTTATAACTGAGTTATACGCGGTCTTTATTTTCTGGACCACCTTCGCATATATGAATAATTTATATAAATTCCATATTAATAATATATTTTTTCTATCAATCATTTTAAATTATAAATCATTAAAAATTCTATTTGGGTTTTGCATGAGATATCTAGCACGCTTATCTAACCATGTGCAACGTAATGCAAATGTGCAATATGCTTGCAATACACGTATTTGCAATTGTGATTCATAAAATGAAGCAAAAAAATGTGAAGTAAAGAATTTTGAAATGCGACCTGTCAATCTGTCGACCTCTGAGAGATCGGCTTCTCAACTGATCGATTTCGTCAATATATTTTTCAGTCTATTATCATATTTTTTTTTTTTATGTATCACAATCTGTTTTCTTTTTGAGAAATTAAATGATCGTAAATACTTCGTTATGAGAAAAGATGAATAGCAATGCGGCGTGCCGACTGATGCGATTCGCTTTCCGCTGTTTCGCGCGTAAATTATGCTCACGGTTGGCTGATACTGGTTACAAGCGTCGCGACTAGGATTTTTCGCGATACATCTTCACGCTATTTCGCCAGCGAATTTCGTAGACAGAAGGATCTACGGGCGTGACGGTGGTTCGTTGAAAAAGCGACAAAGAGGGACACGGCGAGCGTACGGGAACAGGCAAGGGGACAGGAGGTTGCAACCCTGCAGGCGGTCGCGGCGACGTTATTTATTGCTCGGGCCGATGAGTGTCATTTAAAATTTCGATATAAATTAATTTAAGGGGGTAAAGGGGTTTCCAGGACGGTCGCAGTGGTACGGGGCGTAATGGCTCGGAAAATGAAGTTCTTGTAGCCTCGCCGAGAGAGAATCTCGCCGTCACCCCCGTCCCCTCGCCGACCTCCCTTCTATCCGGCGCACCCTTACCCTTGCGCCTCTTCGCCACCTCGAGCGTGTGCCGCTCTCTCCATCTCTTCTCCGCGCCAACCTTCAACTTCATCCCCTTTCGTCCCCTCTGCCCACACTCTGCGCATCCCTCCGCGCCCTCGGTCTTACCCCGTGCTCGCTCGCGGAGACTCAACATTGCCTGGTGAAATATCCCTTTGCCTCCGCTCCGCCAGGCTTCCATCCACGCCCAGGCACTCCGCCTCGCCATTATCTTAAGTAAACAGACTACCTGCGCGCCGGAGAATTCTAGATAAAGTCACATGTTATCAAAATCCACCCCCGAGCCGCCCGTCGCCGCCCCGACTGCTCGCGGCGGCCGTCCTCAAAGCGTCCCTGCCGGCGCGTAGCCTGTCGTTAATTCCGTTAAGTCGCGGCCTTACGTTCAACGCGGCGGGCTGCGAAATCGCTCCCGATTCCGTCGTCGTCGTCGTCGTCGGAGAGCAGCACACCGGAAGTCGAGTGTATCCTCGCGGAGAATCCCGAAATGATATCGGCAGTCGCTCAGGCAGCGCGCGCCCTCCCTCCCGCTCCTTATTCTCACTTCGTCGCGATTAATCGCGATACCCCGAAATGCCGATACACCTAAATCGAGTGAGATTTCGCGAGGATATCCGCTGCGAGAGGATCGGGAGCGAATGAGACGAGACAGTTGCACGATTGCCGTTCAAACGTGTTACCTTCGACAAGGATTTGCGGTAGCAAGCGTTCGTTCGCGCGTTCTGGTGAAAATGAATCGTTACGTATTTCAACCGTATTTCAACCGGATCTCTATGTAAGATATCCTATAAGCGTATTTAACCATGGGATGATTGGTTTCGAAAGAAAGTGAATTATGTTATCTTGTCGTTAAAAGAAAATAATAAAATGTGGTTGGTTCTTGTTGATGTACGAAAAACCCGTTTTTTTTAGATTTAATAAACTTTATCAAATTCAAAAAGATTCGAAAAATCCGTTTTTTTAGATTTAATAAACTTTATCAAATTCAAAAAGATTAGTCTATTAAAATAATACAAATGAAGCTTTAATTTCAACAAATACGTTTGAATTTTCAAGTAATTTTATTGTTTAGTAAAGAAATAACTTGTTTTAAAGAAGATAATTGTTTCACTTAATTTTCTAATTTTTTTTTAAGATAGTTCGATAATTCTGTTTAAATAATCTTAAGAAACTTGACATTCCTTTTTTCACATTACTGAAAGCCTGTCCTTCTTATTATTTCATTGTGTATGCTCTCTTCTCCCGTGATTGATTTAAATGCTCCATCATCCCATCATGCGGCACCCATCCTTTTTAGTGACCACAATCTGAGTTGCTTGACTTTAACGATTATATAGATATTAATAATGTCAAATAGCTCTGACGATATACTTGTAGTATTATGCTTATAATGCATCCTTATATTCAAAAAGTTTTTTCATATCGTACTTATTGATAATCGTTGAAAATAATATAATAAATAAACATATTGAATACAATACAAAATAAAACAATATATTATATACGGATATATAACGGATATTGAGAGAGAATATACATTAGCGAAACAATGACGCCATGATTGCTCTTGTATTTTTAACCAAAAATGATATAAGCCCAAAAAATATTGGTATTATTTGTCGCAACTACTTAATGTATGCACGATTAAACATTTTGACAATTA